GTGTGTGTGTGTGTGTGTGTGTGTGCGTCTCTGTCTCTCTGAGTCCTGGCCTGCACAGCAAACAAAGTAGAATCAACAAGGACTCTCCGCCCTCTCTCTCTCTCTCTCTCTCTCACACACACACACACACACACACACACGCACACGCACACACACACCCCACCCAGCAAGCTCACAACAACCTTTGCTATATACATCACAGTTCCCCCGCATGGACGTCTGTGAATACTTTCCGGGACTTCAAGTTTCTGTTTGGCTTACTCATTTTGGATTGATGACGTTTCATTCAAACTATCACTGGCCCATACGTTTCCCCATGTTGCCCCATTGCACAAAGGGCTAGAGATTTTGTAGCGGGTAAGTGGAGGCCTGCCGAGGCCCTGACAACCGGTGGTGCGCCTGAACCGTGCCTTGAAATCAACAGGCCTCTAACAAATTGCTGCATGCCAGTTGCAAGGCGAGGACACGAGGGTACGTTAATACCATCAAGATGAGGAATATATAGTGCGAGGTTTATGGTGGTAAATTGAAATGCTAGCTGTACATCAGGGTGCAATAGGATCAGTGGTTTGGCAACGAATTGCCCTATATCAGGGTGCACTAGGATCCGCAGTTTGGCGGCAAACCAGAGATGCGACCTATATCAGGGTGCACAAGGATTGGTGATTTGGCAGCAAATTGGGCATGCTATCTAGCTATATGAGGATGCAGAGGGATTGGCGATTTTCGGTAGCAAACTGGACATGCTAGCTAGATATATCAGGATGCAGTGGAATTGACCATTTGGCAGCAAATTGGCGGCAAATTGGCAGCAAATTGGCGGCAAATTGGCGGCAAATTGGCAGCAAATTGGCGGCAAACTGGCGCCAAATTGGACATGCTAGGCAGCATAGCAGGATGCAGTGGGACAGGCTACTTGGCAGCAAATTTGACATGATAGCTAGTTAGATCAGGATGCAGTGGCAAATGAGCGGCAAAGGCAGCAAATTGGGATGCATACAGGAACCGGGGGGGGGGGGGAAATGAAAAAACGATTTCAGGGAATATTACAAACGATATTCCAGACTGCTTGGTGATAATGAATAAAAATCACAATTCCACGGCCATAACGAATACAAATCACAATTCCAGACTGCTTGGTCAATTACATGTTTGAAACAATGCTCTTTACGCAAATTCCTGCAGCTGCAATCCCAGGACAGGACAGAGGTCCTGCAGGGGGCGCGCGACGGCATAAAAAACAAAAACACAAACATAAATTTAAAACATTATAAACATTAAAATAAATAAATAAAAAGAAGCAGGCGATGGTTATGTCCTCACCTAAAGGGCACGTCTGAGAGAGAGTCAAAGGCAGGTATTCATCGTGTCGGGAAGAGGAGGCAATGTGAACACACACCAAAACATTGTGCAGTTGTTCTTTCGCGAACACGAAATAGTAATTAACATCTGCCAAGGACAAAATCGTCAGCATGAATGAAGGGACGAAGGGTCCCGCTGTATAACGTCATCGACACAACAGCTCCCAGTGTGCACCTGGACACGAATCAGTTCATATTCCCCTGAACGTAAATAAGATGAGAGCAGAATGGAGGGCAGGTCTACGAGGATTATGAACAACAATATACACGGCTGCAGCTGCTACAGAGCCTCACGAAGGAGAGGCATGACGCATCTCAGGGTGGCGTTGAATCCTTGCAGCCAGCAGGACCTCAAAACGCAAAGCCTCCTGTACCAGGTTGTACATGTATTAGTTTGCACCTTCTCGCTGCCGACGGTTCTCTGGGTTCAACACGTCCCTTTCAAGAGCATCAAGGTGCAGTGCAATTGACAATCCAGATCTACACACAAACATGCATGTATGCACATAAATTGCATACATACCTACATACCTACATACCTACATACCTACATACATACATACATACATACATACATACATACACCGTAAGTGCATACATGTGTGTATGTACGTATGTATTTCTGTATGTTATGTATATATGTCTATACGTATTTCTGTATGTATGTATGCGTGTATGTATGTATGTATGTATGTATGTATGTATGTAATGTATACATACATGATTGTATCTATGTATGTACTTATACATACATGACTGTATGTATGTATGTATGTATGTATGTTATGTATGTATGTATGTATGTATGTATGTGTACATGCATGATTGTATATATTGTATGTGTGTAGATATGTATTCGTGTATGTATGTATTTATGTACGTGTGTAGGTATGTGGGTACGCATTGCTGGAGGGCAGGTCTACCAGGATTATGAACAACAATATAGAGGCACCGATGAGAAGAGCTGCGGCTGCTCCAGGGTCTCGCCCTGAAGAACATGACGCATCTTAGGGTTGAATCCTCGCAGCCTAACAGGAACATTGTATACAGCCATTGTACAGACACCTACAAACATACATACTTATATACATACATTCTACGTAAATACGTATATACATACATACACACTACATACCTTGTCACTGACTTACAGCACGAAAGCGAAATAAAGGAAGCAAAAGATAAGACAACGAGGATACAACAGCAACGATGACACACTGTTCCTGCTCATGCCTTGCTTTTTGCATTCTGTGTGTGCGTTTGTGTGTGTGCGTTTGTGTGTGTGCGTTTGTGTATGCGTTCGTGTGTGTGTGTGTGTGTGTGTGTGTGTGTGTGTGTGTGTGTGTGTGTGTGTGTGTGTGTGTGTGTGTGTGTGTGTGTGTGTGTGTGTG